GGGGGAAAAGGAATTCTTTAATCTGCAAACAGCTGCAATTATTACTATTTATACCCAGGGGTTGAGGTTGTTTAACATATATATTCCTCAGATATGTAATTTACACCCTTTCACACCCTTTTCGTTTTAATTAAGCCAACTATCTGGAAGCCATAATCATAATTGAATGCCTGCATTCCCGAAAATCCCCATTTTGTTTAACATTTCAATGATTTGTAATCCATTTAATGTAATGCAGAAAGGGCACTTAATACTTTATCAGCTGCCTGGCAGTTTGAAAATCCTGCAGGGACATCATTTTGGGTTATTTGAATTATTGCCAGTAAATTAGTTTGTAATTTTGGTTACAAGGAGTTTTAAGCTTTATATAATAAGGGATTATGATTATTAGTTTAAATGAAATTATTACAGGAATATTTTAGCAGGATTAGGAAATTAGTTAATTGATCAAAAGAGCTTGTGGAGAGTTTATTTATTTATTTAGTTATTTATTAAAGATAATAGTATATTTGCAGATTAAAAATTCTAACTAAAAACAGTGTAAACGAATTTTTAAGATTAAATATATTTTTAAATCATTAAAGTTTATACTTAAGTAATAATTCTAGTGGTAATATTACTTATAAGACATTTTAATATAGATTTAAATATTTTTAAATCCTTGAAAATGTATTTATTTATTATATTATTAACGTTTTCTAAGGTTTTTGTACCCTGAAAATCTCTTACAGAATTTATAATATTATTATAATAATTATATGATGTTTTTATTTAACTAATTATACATTTTTAAGCCTTTAAAGAGTATAACCAACTACATAATTCCAGTTGTTATATTACTTATTTGACTCTTTTATATAGATTAATATATTTTTAAGTCCTTTGCTGATTTATTTGCCTCAATATCTCCCCCAAGTAACTTACATTCCCCCCTCCTCCCCCTCTCCCGTTGACTTTCTTACATTTTTTAATAAATCACATCACAGAAGAGACAGTAAATAATTGCATTAAACTGTTGCTGTGACTAGAAGCAAAGAAAAGTCAGTGGAAAACGGGGGAAAAATGTCTGCTGCCCCGGCCAATTGGCTAAGTTTATTTCCCTTTTTTTTTTACTTCCCTCTGCAGCGCATGTGTGTGAGAGTTTGCCTGTGTCAACGTAATTTTCTCCTGACTTTTCTTTGCTCCACTTCAGCTCCCATTCTTGTTTGCCATTTCATTTCCATATGCACAAAGCAAATAGGCAAACAATTTGCGGGGGGAGGGAGGGTTGGTTTAGAAAATGGGGGCGTGGTGGTGAGTGAATGTTAATACAGGCCCGATACAATTTTCCGATGTTTCCTTGGTTGTCTTGGCAGCCGGGGTTAGGATTCCCGCTTGGAGGTTCGCAGGACTGCAGGAGGCTCCCTGGCAGGATCGCCGGATTGAGGGGCTGTGGCATCTTGACAGCCAACAACTCACTGCTCAGTGACACGTGTGAAATGTTATGTACTGTCGAGGGTTAAGGGGGGAGGGGAGTCAGAAGGGGGGTTGGGGTAACCGAAGGGCTCGATTCCAAGTTTTTTGACACATACAAGGGGCGAACGATGGCAAATTGGAAAGTCAAGCCAAAGTTGACAGGATTTGCGCGCTAAAGGATTTTCCCGGGAAATATAGCGAATAATACACGCAGAAAAAATATATATAAAAAGGAATTTGGAATAAAAGAAAATTTAATTTTGATTTAGAGAAAAATGTGAGTTGAATTTACATTAAAAAAAATATTTTTAAATTTTAAAAATGTATTTTTAAATATATTTAATATATATATTATACATATTTTTAAATATATATTTTGTAATATATTTTAAAACTTAAAAAATATATTTTTAAATATATTTATATTTTTAAATATATTTTTAGATAATAAAGAAATAGAACGACAAGACATATTTGTTTAAAGTTTCTTAGCTAAGAAAATGTTCCTTAAAAAATAATAAATCATATAAAATATTAATTTTAAAATTAAAGAATGCTTTTTTCTTTATTTATAAGTAGTTTGAATCCCTTTTTTTAATTTTAAAGAATATTTTATAATATATTAAATTATTAAACATATTTTCCTTCTTCAGAATGAATTTTCTGCTAACTTTGTGGCATCTTATCTTAGCATCCATCCAACTTTCGCCTCATTATTTATATTTTAAGGTATTAAAAACTTTTCTTAATTCTTAAAAAACTAAAGCAGTCTAAGAACTAAGATTATTTACCATTTTATATAATATTTATAGTGCCTTAACTATGATTTAAATTAGCCTTCGAATAACCCAGCTCTTAGCAAACAACTTCCACTAAACATTAAATAAATACAAAACCCATAAAGCAATATGATGTATTGTTTCTTCCTGTACACATGTATATATATATTTAGACTGTGTGTATGTGTGTGAGCAGGAAAACGGAAAAGGAATCTGGAGCAGGAGCAGGAGCTGTTAGGAGCCGCAGTAGCAGGATAATCGACTGCCTGTCATTGTGTTTACACTAAATTTCAATTAAATTTTGAGGCCTCCTTTGACAACTGACAGTACATGGAAATCGGGTGAGGCTTTTCCGTTTGGAAAATTCAAGTGTCTCTATATATACATACATATATAAGGGATAAGCGCAAGAGAAACAATTGCAAATGCCACTTGCCACTTTTTGGCAAACGACAACAAATCTCGGCGAAAAACTTTCGAAACAATTTTATTCAAGAAAATTGAGCCACTTTTGCTTAGCGCCCACAACACAAGCTTGAACAACATGCGGAAAAAAGAAAAACCCAAACAGAAAACTGAAGATGTAAAATGGAAAGCGTGGAAAAGTGGACGGGGATTTGCCAACTGGATTTAAAATGGAAATTATTTGAGGAAAAACCAATTCGCTTTATTACTTTGGGGCATACGCAACAAAGTAAAACAAAGGCAGTCAACGGTAACGGTAAAACAAAACCCCAGAAGCAACAGCAACAACAGCAACAACAATAACTAAGAAACAACAAACAACAAAAGCAGGCGACCATAAAAATTAATGCAATAAAAACACATGGCAGCCGGTGGCAGGAGCAGGAGCAGGAGCTAAAGCCCTAACAAAGGACACAAAACAATGGCCAAGTTGAGTTGAAGCGGAATGGTGAAGCAATAAGCAGACAAGGATGGATGGCAAAGGACACAGGTACATGTTATGTATGGTGTCGGGATCGATAAGTTTTCCGCCCTATTCCTGGCTTTTCATGAGCCAGCTTAGGAATGTGACATCGAGTGTGAAAAGTATAGAAGTATAACCTACATTTATTAAGATCATAATGGGTGGGGAAATATATTTTTAAATATTATTAAGCCTACTCTGAGATAATTGAAATATATTTATTAATTCTATATTAGTATTTACTATTTACAAATTATTTAAATCTGATATTTGTTAGGGTTTCTTCAAATATTTCCCATCGTAGTTCAATATTTGCCAAAGAGATTAGATATTTTATGTAATTTTGCATAATTTAAGTTAATATGATATATATTTTTATATACTTTATATATTTTGTCAAACATACAAATGTTTACTTTATCAAAAAAATTATATCAGAACAATTTAAAATGTTGTTAATACTTTTTATTGATTTATTATATTTTGTTATATTTTTATAAATTTTTATATTAATTTATATATCTTTATATATTTATATATATTTATATTTATATGTTTTATATTATTTATATTACCTATATTCTATTATAGTAACCTCTCATCCCTACACCTTCACTCCACATATTTTACATTTCAAAAGGAAAGTTCACTCTCCCCTTTTTACCTGCTGATGTATCACTCTGTTGCCATTAATGAATTTTGTAATATGAGTCTTTTGAAACATTAATTTCTTGACATAATTTAGAGATGGGTTCAAATGTGTCATAGAAGGATTTCTCCTTCTATTTCATTTTCAAGAAAGCCCCTTCAACTTGTCGTCCTTTGTGCCAAAGTCTGGCTGTGCCAGGCTGAAGGAGTAGGTAAAGACCAGGGCAAGGGAAGCCTGCAGGACTCCTTGGTATTTTTTTTTAGCCTCCTCTCCTTTTTTTATTGCTCTTGGCAGGCACGCAATTAAAAGGACTTTTGCTACTCATAAACATTGCGCCGAGCCTGTTGCTGTTCGCCTGATTGAGCTTACAGTTTGCGGCTCATAAAGTCACCGAGTGAGTCTCGGGCATAATTACACTTTTCAATTATGCATAATTATGTGTAGAAAGCAATTTGTGTGTTTGTGCTTGGTTGGCGCGTTTAAAATTTAAAGTGCAGTGACACCGCCACCTCTTGGCCTTAACCCCCAAGCCAGCCATTCCACGACAGCAGCAATCCTTAACCCCATAACCCCCCACACTGTTCATTCCTCATTGGAGCTGCTGCTGTTATGCGATATGCCCTTAAAAACGACCCCAAGCGACCAGCAAGCGACCGCATTTGTTTGCCCTGGCACCATGTCGCTCTCTTGAATTTTTACACAGGGAAAAATTTAAGATAAAAGTGATGAAAGAAGATTTTCCCGAGCAATGTAATTTAGTATAAATTAAGATAAATATTCATAAATTATATTAATTATATATTACATTTTAAGGCACTTAAAGTTGATTTTTTCTCTTGGTGTAACCCATTGCTTTTCCACTTTCTCTGTGCTCTGGTCCTGCTGCGGTTGGCAGTGGCCATGTCAGAACAGAACAGCGGCACAGGACTGCAAGGACAACGCAGCAGGCAGAAACATAAATCAGGATTTTCGCAGCCCGAACCACAAATGTTTTTAAAAGGATTCAGCGTGCGGCAGCAACAATAACAACCTTGAGGCGGGTAAGGGGGGGCTCCCATATAGGCACATGTACATATATATACATATATATTGCTGATAATCTTATGCATGCTTAAGCAGGATACGGAATATGGGATATACTAGGGGGGAAATTCTGTAGGTGGAAAGTAGAATAAAAGCTCGAACTTACCCGTCAGGCAGCAAAAAAGTGCCGTCCACAGGGTCAACATGTTGCGATGACCCAACTCCTTCTCCTTATTGCAGTCCTCTGAGCTCCTCCCTGTATTCCGCTTTTATTACCTTTTTTTTGTAGCACTTTATCAGGTTTGTTTTGTGTGCTATCAGTTCGCACTTTGTTTGCTTTTCGAGGCTTTGATCTATGGCAATCTCTGGGGAAGATATATATTTTTGTTTTGATTTCCCTCATTCACACACTACACACTAGGCTTTTTTGTCTCGTTTTTTAGTAGACCTAGTGGCTACAGAGAGAGAAATTTTGGGGTCTTATAAAAGATATTATTTATGGATAATTTAGGAATTTTACTAATTTAAAAAAAGGTTAAAATAGCTTTAGATTTATTAAGAAGAAAAATATAGTAAAATAAGACAAAACTCTTTTGGTATAGATCTTTAAAAATTTGAATTTTAATAATTAATAAATAGAAAAAATTCTAGAAAATTTTCAAATTCTAATAAAATAAATTGTATTAGAAAATATTCTTTGAAAAAATCTTTATAATAAAATAAAATTGATTTGTTAAATATCTAAATTGTTTAATAACTTTCTTAAATAATAACTCTAGATTATTATTATTTAAACATTAAATTAATTAATTTTTCTCTCTGTAGCTATAGGTCTTTCTCTTTCTCTGTTTTTCGCGTGAATTAAACACTTGCAATGACATTTAAAACACTTAATATCAATGGCAGACAATTTAATCCTTTAACGTTCGTTTGTTGAACTTTTTCTGCACTGTCCTTGTTGCTGCTTTCGTCCTTGGTGTTACTGCCGCCTTTTTTGTTGCTTTTGCTGCTGGTGCTGCTGCTGCGATTGTTGCTGTTGCAGATGCATTTGCTCTTTTTGGCTCCTGCTAGGCCGGAATAATATTTTTTTTTGTTGCCGCTGCTGCTCGCTTCGCATTTCCATGAAACGACTCTTTTTATTTACCATCCGCCTGGAACCTACCCAAAAACTGAACAACAAAAAATTGATACTCGTCTGGGAGGGGGGCTGAAAGGCTTTAAAAGGAATTTCATTTGTGCTGCTTCTGTTATGGAACATAAATTGATTAAATTGGGCTTGTTTGCCTGCTTTGATAAGCCAGATTTTTGACTAAAACTTGCTCAAAAAATTTCCTAGATTTTTTGTTGTTGAGCAATAAATGAAGAGCAGGAATTATGGATTGCTTTTTTCAAAGAAAGATATTTTTCTTTAAAATGGAACAAACTTTACCCTCTCCTTAAACAAAGTTTAGCCTAAAAATTAGAGGAGGCAACGCCTAACACTAAATTCTTCTTCAAGCTCACAGCGTACAATTAATTATGGTTAATGCATAAACCAGAATCAGTTATTGGCCCAAAGTTGGGCTTTGTCTTGGGTCAGCTGCTTGCTTTTGAATATTTCATAAGCCAAACTTTGATGGCATGTGTGTGTGAGTCTTGGTATCCGAAAATAGGAACCCGCCCCTCGTCTGGAGCCCAAAATTATGAGGAGTATGTGGCAAACTGTTCAAGTCACGCCTCTTTTTTCCCCCATTTATGTAGGATATATGAGAATATATATCCAAAGGTGGCTATTTTCGGAGACCTGCTGCCATCCATTTACTTTGGCATCAATCAATTGGAACGCACGCCTGTCCCGGGGGCAAAACTTCTGCTGCTACTTCGGCATTTCCCTCACATCTAATTTGTTAAACATTTGCCAGGGAATTGCCTTTTTCACACGCCCTCCTGGAAAATAGTGTGTGTTTGTTCTCAAGGATGGCCCTGCCTTTCTCTAGGAATTTTTTCCCTCGCTGTGTGAAATTAATTAAAACTTAATTAATTGCAGACTTCACAGGGGCGAGGGGAAGACACAGACAGACTAATGAGCAGGGGAGTGGATTAAGGTCCGAGTTCAACTGCAGCTAACATGCAGAGAGAGAAAAAGGTAGGAAAATATATAGAAAATAATAATAAAAGTTGTGGATTTGCTCCTAGATATTCTTTGGATATCTTATTAACCCGAAAATAATCTTTAAGTATTTTTTTTTAATTTTTTGATGCAGAAAAAATATAGTAAAATATTTATAAAATAATAAAAAAGTGGTATCGTGTATCCTTGATATTCTTTGCATTTTTTAGTATATTTCTTGTATTTTTTGTCTACATTTTCTCTCTCTGCCTGATGCTCTGTGCGACTTCAATCACAAGTGGCTGCTGCTGACATGTTGCCCCCTTCTACAGTGCCTTCAGCCGAGTCCTGTAAGGAATCCTCGGCCACTTGTCACTGTTGCTTCCGTAATGGAATTAGAGAGGGCACGAGGGCGTGTGTGTGGGTTCGCCGAGACGCTGGCTAAGAGTGAGCCTGAGCCTGAGACTCCTGCCAACGTCAGCAGTGTCTCTCAAAAGTGTTAACGCACTCAATTGCTCTGGCTCTAGCTCTGACTCTGCCTCTATTCCACTGCTATTATCCTGGCTAGCATTGCCCTGGGTCCTTCGTTCATCTTCCTCCTCAAACTCCCCTTAATTGTTGGCGTCTGCACTTTGTTGCTCGGCTCCGGGGCCAGTGTCTGCTCTAATGCTTAGTATCTGTGATTAGGAGGCAACTTTAGTTCCGGGTGGGCTTAATTTACCCTCCGGCCATTGTTTGTGCTTCATTGTGCCGGAGTATGCATATTTTATTGAGGAAGGTTCACCCATTTTATGGGTTATGAAAGGAAACCGAAACAATTACATTTTGTTTGGGGATTGCAGCTGGAAATTCCACATAAGCTGGTTGGCCTTAAGACGTTGATATACCCTCAACAATTGTGAGTTTCCCTTACGCGAAAAAGCCAAAGTGCTTGGCACTTGACAATCTTCTGTTGTCCTTGGCGAAAAGTTTCTCATCAACAAAATGCAGTCGAAATAAGGGAAAGTTTTTTGTCTTAAAGAAAGTTGAGTTCCTTAAGCAGCTACCACAATAAATACGATAAAAATAAAAGGAGGTTCCTTGAGTATAGGGAAAAGGGAAAAACAGACATATTTTTTGAGGATTTTATATATATTTTTAAAGAGAAAAATGTCTGCAAATAAAAACATATAATATAAATTAAACAAAACTATGAAACTTAACTAATCTTCTATATCTAAACGTGCCCTTAATTTGCTTTTTAAAAAATCTTTAAAAATATATTTAAATACCAAAAACGTATTCCAAAATTCCCTGTTTGTTTTGAAAACCAAAAGTGCTTTTCGATTCTTCTGGCAGCTTTCAGCATATTGCGCATACGCACTGTGATCGGCGGCGGCATTGAATCTGTCGTAAATTTCCCACCACTTTTCCGCACCGCTGTTTCCCGTTAATATTTTATGTGTTTTCTATTAATTTTTGTCACATTCTTGGGGCCCCAAAAAATATTGGATTACACAGAGAAAAGTGTATTAACGTTCGATATATTCTTGTGTTGTGTGTGTGGTGTGTGTTTTGACGCGGTTCACTGGCAGATCAAAGATAGTCCCTCTGCGCATTTGTTTTGTATTTGTTATAATTTGTTAATTTGTATTTTTGGGGGCACTGCTAAAAATAAAACAACTTAATTTGCTGCCTGCTAATGAGAGGGGGCCTGGGGCTGGAGGCCGTTGTGTGGGCGTTTAACACTTTTATAATTTGTTTGTCGCAGACGGGCAGCTTCCCATTCTTTTATTCTGGCCAGCAAACACGCACTCTGGGATTTTTTTTTTTTGTATTTTTTGTAATTTGGTTTTGTTTCATTTGGAAATCGTATATAATTTTCGGGGCGATGTCGTAAAATATTCGCGTGCCGAGCGCGTTTTTAGAATTAACAACAGTAGCAGCAGCAGCAGTTGAGGCGGCGGCAGTAACTGTAACAACAAAAAAGCGACAAAAGGTCATTCAATTTTCGACTGCCGGCAATGAGGCAATGAGGCTTTTCCTGCGTTTTCACACGTTTTCCAAAATTTACGACCCAATTGTGCCCGCACTCACACACACACACTCGCGCACACCCACTGGTAGTAACTCTGGTCTCAAAATGTCGCGTCTCACGTATATTTTTGGGCCTTACATTTTCCACCAAAACACTTTTCTTTGGACTTTCACGCGCTTTTCCGCCTCTGTTGTTCACCGTCAATGTCGCGCTGAAACTGAAACAGAAACTGAAACTGATTTTCCGCTGCCAGTGGCGCAAGTTTCGGGGACTTCAGAGGGGATTCCCGAATGGCCACACGAGTCTTTATCAGTCGGGTTCTTGGGCTGTTCGGCTCGGGAAAACTCGTAGGAAAAGGGGGCTGGGAAACTCGTGTGTTGAATTCGCCGCATTTCACTCTCTTTTTCTCTTTTGTTTAGCTCTTTGTGCTCTTTTGAAGGTCTAACAATAAAATGTTTCAAATAGTTTCAGAATTTTGCGATAAATTCTGGCGGAATAACTTAATGATGGCGAATTATGGGTTTTAGCGAAATTAAAGTTTATTTTGTTATTATCTTTTAAGGGCTTTGAGTGGATTTTTTATGGTGACTGAGATTTAAGTTGGGGAAATTAAATGGAAATTAAAGGTAGTAACTCCATTTATACGATTTATACCTAGACTTATGACTGAGTTTTAAATGATTTAGGATGTAAACTTTAGAGGGGAATTTTGATTATTTAAAACCTTTTTATCATGGCCATAAAAAGGTGTTATAACTATAAACAATTCGTGACATACTTATAGCTTATGCTAGTGCTAATCTATGTAGGTTTATGTCTGTCAGGGGAGTTGGGGATTAAGGCTAGCTTGGGGTTGTACATGCTTTAATTAGTGTTGAGTGTTGTTTTATAATATTTAAATAAATACGAAACTATGTAAATTTTGTGAACTGTATTAGCTACAAACTATAATTAATGAATTTATCTATTTTTTGGTTATTTAATCTAAAAATTATAGTAAAAAAACAGCCTTTTAAATGCCATAGAACTTATTATTATTAAAATAGCTTATTCTTATAATTTATTATAAAAAAATAATAATATCTTTATAGTTTCTCTTATTCTGTAGCCTCTGAAAACTTGAAGATTCAATTAAATAATTTTTTTTAAATTAAATTTAGAATGAAAATACAACCTTATTAGTAATATATAATTTATTATAATTAATATATTTTAATATTTGTTGAGAAAATATATTATCCCTGCAGTATTCTCTCTTCTTCCGCCTCAGATTTATAATTGATTAATTGATTTTTATTTAATTTATGATTAAAATACAACCTTATTAATAAAATAGAATCTATTATTATAAAAATAGCTTAATATTTCTTGATAAAAACCTTAATCCTTACCGTTTTCCCCCTTCCTTCAGCCTCAGACAACATCTTTAGTAACCCACCCAGCCTTAGGTCAGTTTCAAAGAGAAAACTTCTTCCGCTTAAGCAAAGAGCGCGCATGCACTGCCACAAAAAGCTTAAGTTCTCTTTGCTTAACCCAAAGTTCTCTTTTCCCTCTTCTACGGCGAATTCAGTAATGTGGCCAGCAGGCGGGGATTTCAATAAAATACACTCGGAGTTTGCACAAAAAGAGCTAATGACAATATAAATTCGCATGCATGGCAGATGGGCGATGGGAGAAGCGCGCCGGGTTCCCTTTTTTCGACGGATGGAAATTCGGGAAAATCGGGGGAAAAGGCGGAAAGTGAGGAAGCTCAGGAGAGGGGCAGCTGACAGCAGTTATCGCTGAAGCGAAAGGCAGTAATTAGCGTAAATTGAGTTGGTAAAAAGCGCAAGTGTTCAAAATCCGCCAGTGAGCAGTAGCAGGCGTCACCCCCTCTCCTCCTGGGGGAAAACCCAAAGGCCACCGCAGTAGTTGTCCCTTGTTGTTGTGGTTGCCACTGCTGCTACTGTTCCTCCTCCTCCTTCTCCCTGCTACTGCTGTTGTTGATTATGTGGCAATTAGTTGTCGCTTTTGTGGCAAGCCGCGCGACACTTTCAATCAGAGCTTCTTATTCCGACAGCCCGCTAATGCCCATCCAGGTGGGGCTTAGTGAGCTAATTAAACAAGCCGATTACCTGCCACTCTCTGCCGTTATCTCAGCATCCCCTTGACCTTGACCCCGCTTCAGAGCCAGGATAACTTTCTACAGCCCAGGCCACCATCCCACAACATTTCTCCAGTTATCAACTTTCGCCACACATATTGTCAGAGGTGTTTAAAAACTCCTGCCAGTGTGTTTGTGTGTGTGTGTCTGCTTCTCTGGGTCACTGTGGGGTTAAGTGGGCGACAGGCCGGGGGCGGGGCCGTAGTCTAATGAGCGCCACTGGCCCACCGAAGTCTTGTCGGGTATTAGAAACTTTGCGCCATGGCAAAAAACCAAAAGTTTCCAATTTGGTTGCACAGAAAATATTGTTGCAGAGGAATTTGTGTCATTTCTTTAAAAACAACGATTTGAGGATGCTCTTTGGTGGGAAAATATTAAAGTGTAGTTGCTAGAAAAATAATAAAAAAATGTTTTTAAATTAAAAACAAAATCTAGAAGCATTAGAAAATATATAAAAATTATTTTAACATGAATTTTATTCGTAAAAATGATTTAAAAGATTTTTTTTCTATGACTAAACTTTAATGTATTTCGAGGTGAAGTGTAAAAATATTAATATGAAAAATATTAATAAATTATAAACAAGCTCTAAATATTTTAGAAAATGAATTAAAGTAATTCCTAAACTAATTTCATTTATTAAAATACTTTAAAAGATTTCTAGACTTCTTTCTTGGTTGATCTTTAATTTATTTAAATTTGAAGTGTAAAAATATTTATATTTAAAATATTAAGAAATTAAAAAACAAGCTCTACATACATTAGAAAATAAATTAAATTAATCTTTACTTGAATTACATTTATTAAATTAATTTTAAATATTTCTAGACTAAACTTTAAATTACTTAAAGGTGAAGTGTAACTCCCACTCTTAATATAAATAATTCTCTCATGGCAAAACCCACCTGGAAAAACACTTTAAAATATTCCCCCCACATGATTGATGACTTTGAAGTGAAGCTGAAGTCTTACTGCTAAATGCCAAAGTTCTTTCAATTTTTTCGTACAGATTGTGTCCAGCCCTTTTGCCTTAGCTTAGCGACCCGTGAGGAATGCAGTTCATTTCGGCTGAGCGTAAATTTTATGATTTATGAAAATGTTCTACGATTCTAGGGATATTTCTGTTCTGCTCTGGCTCCCCCAGCTAAACAGGAGGGCGTCATTCCGCCCACATTGTAATACAATCAGGATCTGGCTCGGAATTAAATCTGCTAACCGAGTTATCGTCGATGGGGAGAGGGAAGGGAGATGGGAATGGGGATACAGGGGACGCCCTGTTCTGGGGCATTGTTGCATATTCAACAATTGCAACTGCAAACCGACGAAGTAATAACAAATGCAAATTTTAAGCTCAAGAATTTTCAGTTGCAAAATTTGTACAAAATTTATACATTTATATATATATATATATATATATACATTTTTTCTTTATCATATTTTACTTATTTGTGGAAAAGTGTAAATGAGTTCTCCTTTCCTCTCTGCCTTTCCCCCTGACAATTGAATTTGTTTAAATTGTTGCCTGCTGAATTTCTAAGGTCCATGCATCAGCAATCAGGCAGGATAAAGGGGGGAAAGGACTAGGGCCAGGAGCACCCACTAAACTTGGAGTAGGAACACATTGTCCTCGCTGCGAAGAGCCAATATAATCAAGCGGCAGCAGCTGGCAAAAAAAAATGAAGTGCCAATGTGTGGGTAGATGGGGGTGTAATGTGCACTGGGAGAAAATATATATTAGATTTTGTTTTAGGTAATTAATTGGAAAAGAAAATGTAGGAGACAGGTCTAAAATTTAAGGGAAGAAGTAGGCCCTTCCACTGACTCTTAACTATTAATAGTTAAGACCTAAATTTCTTCCCAATTTCTATCTAATTTTCTCTCAGTGCTATTTATAGGAGTGGGGACAGCAGGCTGCAGGACTCGGGCACTGATGAGTTCACTTCAGTGAGCAAATGAAACGATATTGTTGTCAATTTAGGTGCAACAAAGAGCAGCGGCATGTCCCTCGTCCTGCTAGACAAGGACAAGACAGAACAAACAGCATGCATTATGAGAGTGAAAGAGAGGGAAAGGGGAGAAGCGATAAAGCTAGACAGGGACGGACTGATGGCTGGCGAAACAACAAAGGCAAACAACAACAAATTGCATGTCCTTCCGCCTTAGGTTGCAACACACACGATACACAACACACAACACCACACCACACTACACACAACACAATATACAACGCACTCATATTTACTTTGTTCGGAGAGAGTAAAGGATCCTGTTCCTGCAACTCCTGCAGCTGCAGCATTAATGAAAACTGCAAGCGACCTGACACAGATACACGTGGAAATGCGGGGAAATTCGGGTAAGAGGCAAGCAGGACACGGACACGGACACGGACGAGGGCGAGGACGAGGACATCCTGGCTGCACCTTTATTTACCGAAAGCGTGGAGGAAAAACGGTAGGAAAAGCTTTCCCTGAATTGGACAATATTTTTAGCCATTTTCAGGGTCTGATTTTCCTTAGGGGTGATCTAGGATAATTGCCAACTAAACTGGGCTTAATGGTTTGGCAAGGGTCTCCAATTTTGGGACAAAAGTGGCTCCTACAAAGTTGCATTAATAAATGCTTGAGCTGGAGATTTTTCAACAGACTTCCTTTTATACCAAAATTTAAAATAATTGCTTGATAGGTGAAATTTTGGCCTGAATAAAACCTGGCCAAAAGGTAAATAGTTCAATGGCCATGTAAATAAACCAAATCGTTTCGAATTTCCAACTAAATTGAGATGGATGTGAACGCAGTGATTTATCTGAAATATCAACTGAAACCGGTTAGTAAACAGTTTGCATTGCCTGATAGCTGTAGAAATAGATTTATATATTGAATATATATATATTTTTTGACATAGATACACATTTTAATTGCATGGACATTTTTGACTGTATCTCAGAATTGAATCAATCGATTTTCCAGTAGTTTATCTACGTTTAACTGCGATTGAAACTGAAAGTTTTTAAAATAACCAGGGGAGGGTTTTAAAAATTAGAAATAAACCAAAGAAATATAGTTAAAAAG